GGGGGATGCAGCCTTTCTTAGGTGTGGGATGTTTAATGTTTTGAAATCCCTCCAGCTATACACCATTCAAAAATTTAACATACTGAAACCCTAGTTTTAGCTGATAAACTTTAACCAATCTATCTTAAAATAAAATACATAATTACAAGCATATTTTCAATTCTTGGAAGTGAGTGCTGAAGCTCTATTTCTAGAACTGGTGAATTCTGTTCTCTATTTCCATGTATAAAAGATCTCACAGTCCTGGGAAAACACTTTTTTAAAAAATGAAATACAACAAATAAGGTATGCTGCCGAGTCCTGGGGGAGAAGTTTCCCAGAGTCTTTGAATTTCCTCCTATCCTTCTTTACAAGATTTCTAAGACCAAGTCCTTTTCTGCAGTCTCTCAAACAAGGTAAAAAAGAAAAATACCCCCTAGATATATTCTTTAGATTTTCTGTTATGCTTCTTAAGTTCCCAGTAGCTTCTGAAGTAAACTTAAGATGAATTCTGGAGTTATTTTTTTTTATTATGTTTTAATTTTAGTTCTCTTTTAGGTCTAAGATGAAATAGATGATCATAACTACCATGCTTGGAGATGCATTTCGTGGCACAATTTGTACATGACCTATGCAAGGTCACGTCAGGAAAGAGAACTGACATGATAGATAACAAGTCGAATCCAAGCTTTTAGTCTTGGACAATTTCAGGGTAACCTATTTAAGCTTGCTCTATTTCATGCAATACGGCAAGAAAAGTTTCTTTTTAAACAGTACATAGTAGATATATAGTCTGTATAGGGCTCTCCCTCTGGTTTGGATAGTGTCAATTACAGATATATGAAGAATTATTGCTCAAATCACTGACTGATTTTATTTATTTATTTATTTATTTATTTTTGGTCACATCGTGAGCCTCGGTGCAGACTGTGGCAAGCCAGCCTAACGCTTGTCCACAATAAGGTCCCATGTTCCAGCCACGCCACACCTTTTACACCTCGAGGTCTCTGCACATGTTTCACACTGACAAAAATCCTTTCCACCCCTCATTTAAAACATCAACTCCCCTGTAAATCTTCCCTTCTCATCATTTTCATGCTGGCAAAAATCCTTCCCACCCCTCACTGAAAACATCAACTCCCCTGTAAATCTTTCTTTTGATACCCCCAAACAGGGTTCATTATTTCCTTCTCTGTGTATCATAGTGCTGCATACCTATCTTAAGTAGAGTATCTATCAGATTCTATTATAATTATTTGTTTACTGTCTTCACCATCAGAAACGAAAACTTGTACATATACCCTTATCTGGGATTTCTCACGTGCCAGGCACTGTTTTAAGCACTTTAGATATGTCAACTCTTTAATCTGTATCACAGTCCTTTCGCGGGGAATATTATCACTGCCTCCATTTTACAATGAGGAGGCTGAGACACAGAGAAGTGACGTCGTTCTCCCAAGGACACACAGCTAGTGAGTGCCCGGAGTTGAACTCGGGCAGTCTGACATCAGTCCGAGTCTGAGCCTTCCCTAATGTTCTTTGTGTTTGCCCCACAGGCAAAGGCAGGCAGGTCATGGATATTAAGCAGATACAAAGAATAATCATACCGATTTCACCATAGTTCCCTAAGTTTAAATTAGAAGTGTATTACCTTTGTCTTAAATGGATTTCACCTTCACCCTTGACTACGGAAGAGTTCATTTGTCCAGAGAAAATCCAGCCCAGACTGGGGAAGAGAGAGCTAGTTGAAAGGTAGAAGGCCTGGGGTTTTGCTGGCTCTGCCAGGTCAGAGTCAAAGTCTCCGCACCTCTCTCAGCTTCTGCAGCTGCCAAAACCTACAGAAGCCTCTCCAGGAGCTCTTTGTAGGTGTATGACTCTGCGCACACAGCGTAACACAGAATGCTTGACATAGAAATAGTATTAACGAAGAACACTTAGGTTATTCTCTGTAAACTGATGAGACTCGAGGAAGGCACTTTTATTTAGGGGATGATTCAAACAGAGAGGTTTTTGTCATTGTTTCTTTAGAAGCGAGGCACCCAAATCGTTAAGAACCAGATGTATTTATTCTTCCTTCTGACCTTTAAATTTATATCTCAAGTCCCCACAGATGATTGTCACCCATTTTACCATTTAAATCACTTTTTAATTCTTATATTTTATATATATTCTGTATCTTTCTGATTAAAATTTTTACTCATTGTAGAGATTTGGAAAATTCAGAGGTATCTAAAAGTATCTAATTGCATATTATAGGACTGTCCCAATGTTTTAAAATTCTCTTCTAAAATGTTATTTTAAATGGCTGTATAACCTTTCATTAGGATAAGATGAACATGATTTAATTAAACAGTCCCTGTTTTAAACATTTTGGTTGATATCAATTGTTTGCTATTATAAGCAACAATGCGACAGACTTTCCCTCATGTTGTGTGAGGACCCTGGTTGTATGAGAATTGCGTAGCCCTGCAGGAAAAAGGCCTTCTTAGAGACTCTACGACAGTGGTTCTCTGGGAGCTGGTGGAATGCAGATTCTGGGACCCCAGCCAGGAGGTTCTGATCTCTCAAGGCTGAGCCTGGGCAGGTGCTCCTCTTTTTGAGAAACGCTGATACTATCTCTCCTTGGACAATACTTTCTCTTCTTCTGGTTACTTCCTTACTCCCTTCTCAATATTAACCCCCTACTCACAAAATGAGCTGATTTCTAAGTACCAAATTCAAATTGGCCCTGGTGAAGACAGCTACTCATTTTTAGCCTCAGTCTTTTATTAATTTAGGTGACTGCTCCATCTCTGCAGTTCCTCGTTGGCACCTCCCCACCCTGACTCCCACTTACCCCGCCTCCACCCACCCAGGGTCCACACCACAGCCAGGAACAGCTTTTTACGCTGCCAATCAATGATGTCATTTCCCTCCTCACTACAAAACCCTCCCCTGTGCTACCACAGGCCACCCAGCTTCCCTCACACCCTCCTTTCTCTCTCTCTCTCTCCAACTGCACTGGCCTGCTCAGAGAATGCTGCCTCCTCAGAGAAGCCCTCCGTGATACCCCGATCTAAATCACTTCTCCCAGCCCAACCTCTGGCTGCTCCCTTTTCTCTTCTTTCACAGCACATCACCATCTATAAAGGCACGATTAGTATCCCCACTTCACCACTAGATCCATGAGACTGGCCCTGAGACTAATTATTCATCACCAGCATACCTGGCTCTGAGCAGCACCAGTAAGAGGCAGTACTCTAGGCGGCAACCGACATGGGCTCTGGGGTCAAAGGGCTAAAATTCAAATCTGAGTTCTGCTACTTAGGACCTGTGTGACCTTAGGCAAGTTACTTAACTTCTCTGTGCCTCCATTTTCTCCACTGGGGATTATATGGGATCACTGGATAGATTTGTTGTGAGAATTACATGAAAGAATCCACAGAAGTGCTTAGAACCACATCTGGTACGTAGAATGCACCCAATACAGGATAGCTTTCTAAAAGGAAGCAATCAGTATGCTTTGTTAAATAAATAGAACACAACAGACTTTTGAGTTGCGTCTTTTCTCATCATCACTGCCCCGCACCCCAGCCGAAGCATTAGCCCCAACAACCTCCCTGCAGCCCGCTCCTTGAGAGGGCTCTACTTCTGCCCTGAGAAATCTGCTGAATACATTCTCCCTTCCATATTATTAGTTCCAGCTTTGATCCTTTCGTCACGTCACTTCCTAAAATGTGTGCTCATGTGCCAAGCCCCTGCTCTTCCTTCCTTTGAGTATTTCCTGAAATGTGACCTCCTCCGAGGAGCCTTCTTTAAGTGGAACTGAGCTCATCATTCCATTCTCTGTTTCCAAGAAGTAAGTTGAAGGTTGTTGTTTGAGGTTCCAAAGCTATAAATCTTCTGAGCTTTTCCCTGGCTGCATGGTCTCACCATTGCAGGGCAGGTGGGGTTTCTCCTGAAGAATGTGAGTCTAAGAAGGTAAAGGGTTTGTTTAACTTGCTCTGTATACATTTCACACAATGCCAATCCGCATGGATGCTGAATAAATGTGACTTGATGATGATTTAATTACTTTGTCCATGCCAGGAATAGAAACCATGAACTCTTAAATCTGTTTCCCCCCACATTGCAATATGTTTCGATGCTGAGTCTATTATGAGACTGGTTTTCTGCATGTACTTTCACAAAAGGATAAATACAAAAGAAAGAGAAATTACATGAAAATATCAAATTAATAAAATTATTTTCCACATCATGAGTCCAAAGATACCTTTAGAACAGCAGTGCATTGTATCAGTGCTTCATTTAAAGTTTAATTGCATATGCTTTACGGGTTATTTTGTAAATCTAAAATAGATAACCAAAGCATGTCAATACTCATTTTTAAAGTACTTGTTGTATTCGGTGCATGCACCATTATGGAGAACTTACACTCAGAGCAAAAAGATTTGTAGCGAAGCATATGACCTTCTTCCCACTACAATGACCATCCCCTAATTAGGCAATGCATCTGATAGTCATTAACAGGAATGAGATAATGAATCACTTTCTCTCTTCTTTGTTAATTTGCTGTAACCAAGCGGCTAATGGATGTCAGAGCTGAGTGATTGCATTGATTATAGTGATTTATAGTTGCAACAAAACAATTTAAAACCATTCTGATTATTCATGTTAAAGATGCTTTATGTTTTGTTTACTAAATGTTTTATGTCCCCCTTTCTCCTACCCCTAAAGTATGGTCCCCCTCCTACTTTGCCACTTTTGACAAAAAAAAAACCTCTTCCTGGAAAACTTGAAAGTTGTAGGCTTTTTTTTTTTATTGTTTTAAACTAAGCCATTTCATTTTGTTTATTTTTTCTCTATATATATCTATATATCCAAATAGATATATAGATATAGATAGATGGATGTAGAAATAGATATACAAAGTTTACCCAGTAGAAACAAAAAGCCTTAGGGGTAGAAACAAAACTTCAGTGGTGCCTAGTTCAAAAGAGGGCAGAAATGAGAGGAAATCAGGCAAACTTCAAGCCACTTACCTTGGGGCTTCCAGTCCCGTCCTCGCCCTCCACAGACACATCAGTAGCCAGAATCTCAGCTTTGATGGTATCCAGAGCCCTGAGAATCCAGCTGTGTTGTCGTTTGATTTGCCTCTGCAACTCCTTCCACTGGCTTGCAATCATCCGCAGCATGTCCCTCAGCCCTTCTCCAAAAGGAGGGGAAAACACAAGTTACAGACTTGACTGCATTTTTTACCCAGCATTGTCTTTTAGCCAGTAAATTAGACGAATATTTCAAATAGTAAGCTTAATTTTAAACAACCCTTATCATCACCTGCCATATAAGCATTTGTCCCCAAGGAGAGGGGCTGGGGATTTTTGCCTTCACATAAGGCATAAGGACACAAAAAAATGGGATCACCACATAGATGCATGGTTGGGGAATCGACTTAGCTTCAGTATATTGACTAAAAAAAAATGCATGTCGAACAAAAATCATGATATGTAAAAATTACTAACGCTAAAGCTTCACATTTCAAAGAAAAGGCCCTGTGTGTATCTGTGTGGAGACTCCACAGTGATCAGAAAGATGTACAGAAATAGGTGAAGTGAATTCAATGAGGAATATAGTAAATGGACCAGAATTAAGACAGCAGTCTTTTGCGTTAGCATGTCCGATTAATGCCGCTCTTCCCTTATTTAGCTGTGGTAAGCTCAAAGCAAGAGCCAAATTATAATTCATCCTGTCTTATGGTCTTTTACTACCAGGATAAGTATAACCAAATGAAAAAACTATTTTTTATTTATAATCTGTTCCTCATAAATACATTAATACTGGGTAAGAGTTGGTTTAAGGCCAAAACTCTGCTAATGCAATGACCAGCAGAAAAACATGCAAAATGTTCATGTGTGCGGATTGGCAGGGAAATAATGGGATATATCTAGACCGCCTGCCTTATATCTGTAATGATATCTATAAGTACCCTAATGCATATGCATTATAACTATTGGCACAATTCTCATTCATTATCTTAATGTTATTTCCAGAGCACCTACATCAAAAAGCATGTCAATGTGAAGTTTTCAGGAATGTGATTTCTATTGAAACTCGGGTGAACGGCAAGCCCAAAATAAAATGAGCAGCCCATTTGGAGGCAGTATTTCATCTTATAAGCATCACAGCATTGTATGCAGTATATGAAACATTTATAAATCTTGAAGGTCAATCTGATAATGTAAATATTAATAATACATAAGGAAGTGAATATATGCAGTAATTTACAGCAATGCTTCTTCATTCTTAATAGTCTGGAGACATAAAGGCTTGCAATATTTCAGGAGGATTTACCTGCTTTGTGAGATGCAATAAGCTCGAGAAGTTGGTGTCCTTCCTCCTCCACAGCTTCCTTGAGAGCACAATGACTGTCTACATTCAACTTAAAACTCTGCAAGGAAAAATATGAGCATCAAACCCTGGCAAGGCAGTTAAACATAAAACATCCATACAAAATGACTTGCTACTTTTTATCAAGAACCACACAGCCCAATTTACCTAAAAGACAAACTAATTTGCAATACTAAAAGCTATTGATATTTGGGGATCTGGGCTCAAAATGTTTCCATTAGATTAGCAGAGTGCATCTGTTTGGAAACAGCTGACAAATCTAGAAATTCATTAGGTTTTTATGAAAAGTCACATCCCGTAGACTGTATCAGGAGTAGCAGTGTTCTATAAAATACACTGAATTTCTACCAGCACATATGAGCTCTTTTCTTCACTTTTTAAAAATTTTAGTGATAGCACTATTTATGAAACGATAAAAAAATTGGCAGCATAAAATATATTAGCCTTATGTGCATATATATAAATCCATTAATAGAGTAAGGTTTGGATTCAGCTGTTTCTCAGATATCACACAAACCAGGGAATATCAAGGTGGATTGAGGTGCTGTACTGAGGAGTCAAATGCTTCCTAAATCTCTGATTTTTAAAAGCTTATTTCTTACCAATGTGACTCTGCTTGAAAAATGAATACATCAAGCACATCAGGGGCATTTTTCACTCATGACAGTCCTCCAAAAACCAAAAACCGCTGGTATGACTGAATCCCAACTCAGAGCCATTTCTTTCAGGAAGCCTTCTTGATTGCTTTACATGGAGTTACATACTCCCTTCTCCCTGCTCCTTACATGTGTTTCTACCATAGAATTTATCATCTGTATTCTGCTTTATTTCTATACTTGGCTACCAAATTATAAGCAATTTTAAAGAAATGCCAGTTTCACATTCATCTCCAACTCATGTCACACACAAGATGTTCAATAAATTTGCAGAAATAATGGATATCCATCGAAGTGGATCAATAGCACTCTCTGAAGGGAGAGGCTTCCATTTAGGTATTTCAAGAAACACAGGTGGTTTTCCAGATTCCCCACCTCTGGAATGTTAGAAGGCATTCCAACCATAGGAGGTCCAGTGGAGAGTAATCATAGTAACCAGTCTGTTGAGTCAATGGCTAGTCTTCAGGGCAAAAATCGATTCCTTCAGTTGACTAATTAGAACACAAATTTGAAATACTGTGCACCAAATGTTGGCTTCTCCATGACAGAGCTCCAAAATATATAACATATTTTGCTGTCACTGAACACTCATTGAGCACAGCACTAAGCTTGGTGTTAAGAATATTTAACAGAAGTTCATGATACAGACCCAGTTAGAATGTAATTTGGATGAGGTTAAACCACCAAAAATTGTGAAATTAGGTATCATTGTATCATTCATTCATCCATTCATTTAGAAGCCATGCATCGTGCCTGTTCTGTACACTGGACTGAGTAATACTGAGTTAAGGGGTTTAAAAATGGTCTCTGGCATCAAAGGGCAACTAAACATGTTACTAGGAGAACAAAGTACAGCCTGAGTCATCTTGGATTTTCAGTACTGAATCTGGGCTCTCTTTTTCTTAGTCGAGGAAAGGGGGTCTTCTTAAAGCTGAGAAGAAAAAGCAGATTAAAAGAAACTGGATATGAAGGAGATAGGGATAGACGGATCAGACCATGAAGTATAAAGATAAGAATTTTGACTAAAAAAAAATTTTGACTCCAAAATGATGAACCATTTCATCTGACTAGAGGCATAAGAAACAGTAAAGTTTTAGCCAAACACGACAGAAAGAAAACAATATTAAGTTTCCCCACAGGCTGTTGACTCTTTCTTGTATTGTCCTCTTTCAGCTACAGGTACATGATTGGATAAAATAAAGTATGGCAAAGTATGGGAAGCCTAATGCTTCTGGTCAATACAAACACTATGAGATCTATGAAAAATTAAATATTTATTTATATATTTATATTTTGGCTACATGTACTTTTTGCCCCTACGGTAGAAATCCTCAACTTTGAAGCAATGCCATGTGGAATAAGGTTCATGTATGTTTCAGGGAGAAGGGACAAGGAAAAGCAAAACACTTGAGATCAATGTGAGAGTGCCACAATTTAGGAGGAAACCTGTCCTAGAGATTTCCTTATAACTGTAAATTTAGCCTAGTGCTCTCTCTGATTCTCTGTTTACTTACAACAGACTTGTGCTGAATGGTTAGTAATCATGAGCTTCTGAAGAGGTGCATCAGGCCTATGTCTCAGAGCAAAAGAGAACCTAAGGACCTGTGAGTAGGTTGGATAATTTGACATAATTGAAGCCAAGAGTATAGAATAGATGCAGCTGGGTCTGGTTCTGCCTCAAGAGGATGTGGAAGCATTTGATTAGGAAAGTGGAAAAGATGAGGTATTCATTATTAGGAAAAAGATAAGCTGATAAGCTTGATGCTGTAGAAAAGACCCATTTAATATACCTATTATCCAAATGGTACAATATTGCTTGATTTTCAGGTGCATCTATTAACCATTAATAATATCAACTAAGGAATTCACAATGGGCCTCTGAGAAGGCAGCCAAACAGGCACATTAACAAAATTGTCAATGAAATTTCTGGCTGCTAAAGGATTCTGTAATAAGCTCTCCCCATTCTGCCCCCACCTCTTCCTTAGGGAAGGAAGCTTAGATGAAAGGGTTTTATTTTCTTTCTTCTTCTTTTTCCTTGAGCCTGATACTTGGACACATTTCCATTCTTGTGCTCCTAACACAATCCCTCAGTGATGCCTTATATCCCTCTGCAACATCCACAGCATTCCCTGAAAATGCACAGCATCCTCTGAAGAAATAATTTATGGCAACAACATTGCCATAGGTGGGTACCACATTCCTATGTCACTGATTATCTGAAATTCTTTAAATATGAGTAATCTGGGTTCTATGAGACACCAGATCTTTTTTAGTGTCTTTAAAGCAGCATGCAATTAAACATCTAGAAGAGAAGAACTAAGGAAAT